GTTTTCAGCTACAGCTACCTGAAATACAGCACAATACTGGCTATGAATGAAGTGGTGCTTTAACGTGTTCCCATCTGGACTCAGATCAGTCCCCACAGCTTCAGTCTAACCTGATCTTAGACTACAAGCTCCCCACATTCACACACTGACTCCTGTGTGGTATGTCTCCCACCTTCCCTACAGAGTACAATCCTCATTCCCAGGCTAACAGCAGCTTCATTCTTTTAGGTTTATTAACAAAATCTGGATGTAGCAGCTATCTCAGATAATTCACTGCTTTGGTGATGGAAACAACATGACTTTGGCTTTCAAATTTCACAGTGAAAATTCCCTGGGTGGCCCAGACAACTTTCCCCCATATATATAACCTGCACAGGACAAATGTCTTTCATGGTTCTGGTGATGGGACCCAGGGCCTTATGCATGCTAGGCAAGTATTCTACTACTGAGCTACACTCTTAGCCCTAAAATAACTGTCTCTTGTCCCAACATTACTCCCAGCTGTAAGGGAACTATCACCCATGAACAGGTGGAAGACAAGGCCAGTATGGGGCAGTGTTTTGTATATTACAGGCCATCAGTATGAAGAGAGATTCTCACCCATGTGTCTCTGGAGCAGGCTGCAACTGCAGAGGTTCCCAGTTTTGTAGCTGAGTCCTCTATACTGTGTCCTTGTCCCCCACCTCTTTTCACTTCCAGTAGCCCTGGCTTGGTCCTTTGGCCTCAACAGTCCTGGGAGAATGAATGAAGCCCTATGAGATCACCAGAGCTTCCACATCTTCCTGAACGGCACAGGGCTCTGGAGTGTGGCCTCACCTTCCTCAATAATCACTGGCCCTCAGGCTTCTGCACTTGCCTTGACACTGCTCAACATCCATCTTGTTTACACAGAGCTCAATAACTGCCCCATCCATGTGGGGACTGTACTGGTGTACCTGGAGTTCATAAAGCTGAGGCTCAGGGATGATCACAGGGAAGGTTCTAGTTTCCTCGAGGCATGGGTGTTCCCATCACATTCTTAGCTGTTTGTCATCACCCTGATTTTTTTCTTTTCCTTTGCATTTTCTCAAGGGCCTCCAATCCAGTTTCACTTGGGGAACTCTTAGAACTCTTTCTTGCTCTGCAGCTGTGAGGATCTGAGAGCTACAGCCTCCAGCTGGTCCAGGACACTGTCCTATGCCTGTACTTCTATCATAAACCTCATAACTGCTTCCCTGCATCCTCTATCACTGGATCTTCCAATGGAATCCAGTGTCATCTTCTTAAAATCTAACATCATATCCCTTCTGGTAACACTCCTCAGTGCCTTCACACTGCACAGAGGATAAAATACAGACTCCTCTTCACAGCCTAAAAGGCCAGCATGATTTGGCCTGGCTTCCTCTCTCATCCTCCCTCATGCCCGTCTTCCACTTGATCCCTGAGCTCTGCCCACATCTCTCCATCCTTTCCCAATCATGCCAAGTCCTCTCCCTGCCTGAAGTACTCTCCTTTCAGCTTTTGGTACAACTACTCCTCTCCCTCATGTCTCAGCTCACATCACCTTTCTCATCAACATCACCTGTCCAATTCCTCCCCAGCACTTTTCTGAAACTGTCTATTCATTTGTTTCTTGTCATTTCCCCCATGGGACACAAGCCCCAGCTGGCCAGGGGCCAGACTTGTCTCGTCCATTCAAAAATCTCCAAAATCTGGCACACTGTAGCAACAATTACATCTGCAGATAAGTTCTTCTCCCCATACAGTGGGGCATAGGACCAACCCAAGCTAGCCTGGACTTTATGGGTATCAGAGGGCTTCTGTGCATTTCTCAACAAAGTGCCCCTCTAGAAACTCTATTCCTGCATCTTCACCCCACCTCTTTATAACCAAAATGCCAAGGTTCTTTTATTACCTGTTGTTCAGAAGCTCTCTGCATCCTCAACCAGAGAGCCACAGCTTCCTCACCATTTTCTGGACACTGCTTCTTCACCCAGGTCTGGATCTCCTCTGGCAAGAGGTGAGAAACTGCTCCAAAAGCAGCATCTGAAGGACCTGCTCTTTGGAGTATGTCTTGGGCCTCAGCCACTGACAGCAGAGCTCCCAGACTGCTAAAAGCTTCATGGGGGGGCCAGTGGCCTCCTGTAGCAGAAGTGCCTGGAGCCTCTGGCAGGAGGCCTCAGAGTCAGGGCTGTAGTCCTGAGCGGCTGTATGAGGGCCTTGTTTGAAGATGGGTGTGCATGGGGAGTGCTTGCTGCAGCCATCATTTGCTTCGAGGAACTGGCTCATTCTGGTGGCCACTTCTATCAAAAGGAGCAGATTCCATCTCTTCCCCATCATTAGGAGTCATGTCCTACTTGAAGGAGTGTCTTTCTGAAGTCAGGAACTTGACTGTCATAGACATGCAGAGACGAGGCCCAACTTTGAAGGGAGGCTGAAGAGGATGGAAAGAGCAAAACCTCCCATACTCCTTCTCTGATTCTTGCTTCTTGTGATTTACTTCCCACTCCTTTCTTCCTCCACAAATCCACATCAAGGATCCAAGACACTAGAAATAATAAAACAAAACATATATGCATGTTATGAAAATATAATAATGAAACCCATTAAAAAATTTTAAGGGTGTGGAGGAGGGATAAGGAGTAATGGGGAGAATTTTTCTGGCAGTATTGAGGCTTGAACCGAGGCTTGTGTTTGCTAGGTAAGCACTCTATCACTTGAGCTACCCACTCAACCTTTTTGCTTTTAATTTATTTTTCAGGTAGGGTCTTGTACTTTTTGTCCCAGCCAGCCTCAGATTGTGCATAGCTAGGATTACAGATGTGTGTCACCGTGCTTGTTATTATTATTAATTTTGGAGATAGTTCATGCTGACTTCTTTGCCCAGGCCTCAGACTGTGATCTCCACCTCCTGAGTAGTTGGGATTATGGGTATGTGCCACCTCACCTGGCCTGAGGAGGTGAATTTGATCAAAACACATTATACGCATGTATGGACAAACCACAATAAAACTCCTTTATACAATATATGCCAAGTAAAAAATAACAAGACAAAACAAAGAGAAATACCAAAAAACATAGCTTTCTCTTTAGCCATATGTCTGGGTCTGCTAATAAATTATCCAGACTGCTTCTCACTATGTATTCCACCTATTCTTTCTTCTCCTACATACCTGGATCTTCCTCTTTCCTGACCCAAAAGGAGCCTGGACTCACCCTCCCAGTTGCTACCTCTTAAAGACATAACGAGTGTGTGTACGCCCCTTCCTCACACACTGCCACACACAATAAGTGGTTTTGCTTTGCTGTACGTTTTCAGGTTCCAGCTTTCCTTTCTCTTTTCTGACAGCAGCATCCTTTGTGAAAAAGCCCCTCTTTACCTCCCTTCCTTCCACCCCAGAAGTTGTCACCTGACAGACTGGTACCATCAGATTCTCCCCCCAGAATTACATAGAAGAGGGGAAGGTTCTCAATTTCCTGGGAATTGTGAATGGGCAGATGTAAGACTGGAGCTCTCTGCAACTATTTCCCACTCACTATTCTCCACCACAGCGGTGAGTCCCATCACAGGGGAGGACACCAGAGTCTTGACATGGCCACTAATGTAAAGCAGCATTTTAAAAAATTCGTTTAAGTTGGGTTTCAATCGCATACAACACGGGTTAAGTCACATGCAATCCTAATGCACAAGTGTCCTCTTTAGGCTTTATATAGGAGCTTATATACCCATACTACACAGTATTAAAATGGATTCCGGTTGCACAGCAATGAGTATAATCACTACTGAACTGTACACTAAAAATGACTAAGATGGGAAAACGCTCTACATTTTAGTGCGCTCAGAGGGACTAGATCTAGAGGGATCAAAGGTATTAGCACGACTTTTTAGCAAAACAGAAGTAACAGAGTAATTACCTATCCAACCTAGCATTACACAGCCTAATACTGCTCTTAAGCAGCAAGGCCAGGACCAGAACCCGTACCCCTTGCCTTACACATTTTCTAATATCCCGTACCTTGTCTGGCTGAAGTGTGATAGATGCTATCCTGGTTTCAAGCACAAGGCGGAGCCTGTGCCCTTGACCCCTTATGCAGCTAAATTTTAACATGTAGGTTTCTCGAGAATTTGTTCTACTCTGCGTATGGTTCAAACACTCGGAGAGATGCAGAATGAGGATGGGGAATGGGCTAGCTCATTTTTCTTTCAGCAAGTATTTGAGTTAGTGCTAGGGTTAGATACTGCGGACGAGATGAACTAGGAAAAACCCACCCGCCGAGAGCTGGCTGCAGGGTGAGGGTCCTGGGCGCTGCGAGACCACCCTAAGAGGGTTCGGTGGATGCTGGAGCCTGGCCCAAGAGCTTCCCGGACCGACATGGGGCGGGGCCGTGAGCCCTCCCGGTTGCGAGCCTGCGAAGGACTCACGCGATCCCAGCGCTTTCAACATCCCAAACTCCCCTCTGCCCACCGCCAAGTCAGCCGGGCAGGTTGCCCACTGCGCACGCTCGTGGGCTGAACCACTGGACTACCATTCCCAGGGTGCGCTGCGACCATATTGACAGACGTAGAAGCCAATGGACGAGGAGGACGTTCCCGAACAGCCAATCCCTTGGGGCGGAGGCGGGCCCTCCCGCGGTGGCTCCTCCCAATCATTGGGCGTCTCGGTGGCTAGCGGCTCCCGCCCCGCCCCTGGCCAGTGCTTCTGGGCTCCGGGTCTCCCGCCCCAGAGAGGTGAGTTGGCCGCAGGTGGGCGCGGGGAGCTGTGAAGCTCGGGTCCGTGGTGTCGCAGGCGCCAGCCCTAGCTCGCACCCAGTCGCGCCGAGGAGCTGCGCGTCCCATTGCGGCAGCCGCGTTCAGGCCCAGGCCAGCTGGGCCGCGGGGCCAGAGCGTCTGGGCCTGTGGCGTCTGGCCGCTGCGTGCACTTGCGAACCCCGACTCGCGCCGGGGTCCTCCTCAGCTACGCAAGTGCCCGAGGTACACGCCAGTAGGGCTGCGGGAGAGCCGGTGCACGCTGCCTGTCAGACCGCTAGAACTTCTCCCCGGGTCCCTCTGCCTGCGCATCAAATCGGGTCGCTCATCGCGTCCGAGACCCTGTGTGCTTATTACCGAAATAAAAGAAAAGTCTTCCCCAGAGCCCTTGTAGGTCGTTATGACTTTTCTGCTTTGCAAGACAGTTCAAAGAAAGTGACGGAAGAAAAACTCTTCCCACGCACAAGGACGGTGTTGTCTTGAGTTTGGGGTAAAGGCCAGCAAATGAGAAGGCCCTGCCTCTGCATCCGTCCTCCCTAACGTCTTCAGAGGAGCTCCTTTTCTGCCATTTTTCTAGCATTCAGAGAGACTTTTCCAGGACCATGATCCCAAAGGCTTGAGCTGTTTACAAGGAGAGAGTTGTTGCTTGAGCCGTCAGCATGGCAGCTAAAATGGAGATAACTTTGAGCTCACCCACTCAGGCTTCCTCCAAGCAAGACAGACACATCATAGCAAAGCTAGAAGAGAAACGGGTGCCCGCTCAGCCAAAACACTGCCCTGACCCGGAGCTCTCCCGCCAGAGCTTCCGACGGTTTTGCTATCAAGAGGTGTCTGGACCCCAAGAGGCGCTTTCCCGGCTGCAACAGCTCTGCCGGCAGTGGCTGCAGCCTGAGTTGCACACCAAAGAACAGATTTTGGAGCTCCTGGTGATGGAGCAGTTCCTGATCATCCTGCCCCCAGAGATCCAGGCCCGGGTCAGGCATCGGTGTCCAGTGAGCAGCAAGGAGATCGTGACCCTGGTGGAAGATTTTCATAGAGCATCCAAGAAACCAAAGCAGTGGGTAAGAAGGGGCCTCCGTCTGGGTCCCCAGCATTTCTTTCTCATCTAGGTAGTGTTTGGTCTCCGTATTCCATCCGTATTTAGACAAGGGTCCAGAAGGACTGGATGGCTTCAGAAGTTGCTTCCAGCCTGTATTTGGGAACCCCCCTGAGTTATGATAGGTTTTCATAAAACCCAGCTACTGTCATCCAGTGAGGAAGCAGAGGGCCAAGCTTCTTATTCCTTTACGAACCTCACGAACCCAGAAGTAGCTTTAAGGTTCTTGACTCTCTGCTGTCAGAATTCCCTGGCCCATTCCTCTCAAAGTTTTTCTACAATCAGAATTCTTAGCAGGCAGGAGCAGCCAGTTGGCTGGAATTTCAGTGTGGGGAAAGTTACTGGGCTTTGTTCCAGTGAAGCGCCTGCCATACTGCCTTTGAATCAGAAATTTTCAGCTCAGTTCCCCAGTGTTGCTATTCCTTCCTCCTCATCTTCCCCAGGCAGACCCCAGCCAGGGCCTAGGAGGGAGATGTGCTTTGGGAAGTGGAACCTGTCAGGGAACAGATGGGGCACTTTTCTTAGACCTCTACTACTAGTGGACCTCTGCCAGAAGTGCCTGTGGCAGAACAGTTTATTAAGAGTGGTTTTCAGTGGTCCCTCACCATACTACTTCTGTTCCTACAGGACCTGTTCCTACCAGCAGTAGGGAGGAGGTGGGGTTTACTGTGGGAATCTGATGGGCCAGTGTCATGACTGACTCCGATATTGTACCAGCTCTCTTCTGATGACCTAGGTCTCTTGAAAGGCCCAAGCTTTAGGGGCAGCCACTCAGGAGGTATTGGCTGACGTGAAGCAGCCTCATTCCTGTCATTCTGCATGCCCTTCCCTTGGAGTCTTGGTGTGCTCTAAAAAGGTTCACCTCTGGCCATTACAATGAGTTCCCAAGGTAAAGGGGTCATTACACAGCAGTGAGCAGGAAAGCTGTGCTCTGCCAGTCTTTGAAGCATTAATGGGTAGGGTTTCTTCCTAGGTGGCTGTGTGTATGCAGGGGCAGAAGGTGCTTTTGGAGAAAACTGGAGCTCAGCTTGGAGAACAGGAACTGCCAGACTTTCAACCACAAACTCCTAGAAGAGATCTTAGGGAGAGCTCTCCAGAGGATCCTTCCCAGGAGAATCTGTCCCAGGAGGGATCCCATGACCAGCCGAGCCCTCACCACTGGGAGAAATCCCCACTCCTTCAGGAACCAGCCTCCAAATTGACTGGGACAGGTAAACATTCTGCTTCCTCTTTCCCTCTCATCAGCTCTTTATTTCCATCAAAGCATCTCATGCTTCTGCAAAGGCATACACCATGTGAGTGTGTGTGTGTTTGTGTGTACCCACCTTTTAGATGTAATAGTTTATTCCCTAAAATATTTCACTAGTTAAAATGGTAGTGATACCATAAATAAGGAGTGTTTTTGTCATTTTCTGTGAAAGAATATCTGACATAATATTTTAGTACCTACTTTGTGTCCCTTTCAGAGCTCCTTATATTGAAGACAGATCCACATATGGACATTGATGGACTCCCATGTGTGGAACTCAGCTGTGGCTGAGTTTCATTATTTACAGTGGTCTCTGGCTGGAAATGTTAATCAAATGGTGAGAACCTGCTTTGCAAGCACAAAGCCCTGAGTTCAAACCCCAGTCCCACCAAAAACAACCAACCTATCAAATAAAGTGCTAGAGTACTCTCATATTTAGAAGGAGCCTAAAGAATGTCCTTCCCAACTGGGCATGGTGACCCGTGCCTGTAATCCCAGCTACTCAGGAGGCAGTGATTGGGAGGATCACAGTTTGAGGTCAGCCCAAGCATGAAGTTCCCAAGACCCCATCTCAACCAATAAAAGCTGGGTCTTGGGGCTTGTGCCTGTCATCCCACTGCAGACAGGAAGCATAAACAAGGATTGCAGTCCAGGCCTACCTGGGTATAAACATGAAACCCTTTTCAAAGAATAATTAAAGGAGCTGGCAGATTGGCTCAAGTAGTAGAGCGCATGCCTAAAAAGCGTGAGGCCCTGAGTTTAAACCCCAGTACCACCAAAAAAAAAAAATAAGTAAATAAATAAAATAACTAAAAAGGGCTGGGTGTGTGGCTCAACTGGTAGAGCCTTGCCTAGCAAGTGCAAGGCCCTGAATTCAAATCCCAGTACCGCCCAAAACAAAAAGTTCTTAAAAAAAGTTCCTCCTGTGTGGCATTGTGTTTTAAACCCTTGTTTCTATTTCCCTATCTGTCTCTGTTCCACACCAGTGTGATCGCTGGCCATGTTCCTTACACAGCTATCAGAGAGGCTGACTGACGGACACTTGGCCAGTCCTGGTGATGTGCACACAGGATCCAGTCAAAAGGTTAGAGAGGGGGGTTACAAGAAGACTGACCAGAGCCTTGTTTTCTGCATTCAGTGAAACACTTTGTGTCACAGTCCTTTCATCTGCTATCACAAAATACTAGAACATGGATAGCTTATAAGCAACAGAAATTTATTTTTCACAGTTCTGGAGCCTGGAGAGTCCAAAGTCAGGCACTAGCATGGTTGGTTTCTGGTGAGTGCCCTCTTCTGGGTTGCAGACTGCCAGCTTCTGTCTGTATCTTCACATGGCAGAAGGGACAAGCCAGCTCCCTCAGGCCTCTTTCATAAGGGCACAAATCCTAATCCTCTTAGTACTTTGCCTCTTAATATATTTCCACGTGAGTTAGGATCTCAGCATATGAACATTGCTGGGTCACCCAGCCATTGCACTTCGGTTTGATTATGCTCACAAGTCAGGAAATGGAGGCGTTCTGGGAGAGCATGTGACTCTGCTAGGTTCTGCCTCTAACCTGTGGCCTTCATGGTCCTGAAGAAAGTGGGCTACAACCCTCCTGTCTGCTAGCTCAGCAGAGGCAGTGGATGTGAGTGTGTGTGCTGTCTCTGTCTACTTTCATCCAGTCCCCGGGAAGGGAGAATCCTGTACGCCCATCACAAAGATCCGCCAGCGCCTTGCTTCAGAGCTGCCCCGTCTAATACAGTAGCCACTAGCCACGTGGGAGAATTCCAACTGTACTGTCGAGATGTGAGTCACATATTATAGTTCATCCCTTCCAAGTCTGTAGTTCAGTGGTTTTTAATACATTCACCAAGTTGTACAACCTTCACCACTATCTAACTCTAGAACGTTTTCATCACCTCAGAGAGAAACCCAAAACCCACTGACAACCACTCCCCATTCATCCCTTCTCCTAGCTCCTGCAAACTACTGATCTTTATATTTTTGTCTCTGTGGATTTGCTTAGTTTACATACATTTCATACAAATGCACTCATCTAATATATGGCCTTCTGTATTGGCTTCTTTCCCTGTGTTTTCTTTCTTGCGGTACTGGGGATCGAACCCAGGGCCTTCTGCATGCTAGGCAAATACTTAACCACTGAGCTACATCCCCAGCCCCTTTCCCTGTGTTTTGAAGTAGTATCCATGCTGTAGCCTCGGTCAGTGCTTCATTACTTTTTTATGGCTGAATAATATACATTGTGTGGATAGACCACATGTTTATCAGTTGATGGACTTTTGGGTTGTTTCTACCTTGGGATATTATAAAAAATGTTACTGTGAACATTTGTGTACAAGTTTTATCTGGACCTATGTTTTCATTTCTCTTGGGTATATACCAGGAGTAGACTTGCTATGTCATAGGTAACTCTATGTTTAACTTTTTTTGTGTGTGTGGCATTGGGATTTGAATTCAGGTTTGAGCTGAGCTTACAAAGCAGGCACTCTACTGCTTTAAGCCACACCTCCAGTCCATTTTGCTCTGGTATTTTGGAGATGGGGTCTTGTGAACCATTTGCCTGGGCTGGCCTCAAACTAAGATCCTCCTGATCTCTACCTCCCGAGTAGCTAGGATTACAGGCGTGAGCCACCAAACCATTTTCTAAAGTGGCTGCACGTTTTACATTCTCACCAAGAAAGTGTGAGGATTCTGATTTCTCCACGTCCTTGACAGCACTTGTTACTGTCAATCTTTTTATTACGGCCATCATACTGAGTGTGATATGGGCCTCCTTTAGGCTTTGATTTGCCTTTCCCGAGTGATCAATAATGTTTTGCTGACGCCCAACCAATGAACATTCCTGGGAATGTTCACAAGCATAGGAGCATCTGTTGGACAGTGCATATCTTTTGGAGAAATACCTACTCATGTGCTTTGCCTATTTTTAGTGTGGGTGATTTGTCCTTTCATTGTTTTAAGACTTAGTTACATATTGTGGATACTGGATCTTGTCTATCATTTTCTCCTATTATGTGGGCTGTCCTTTCAGTTCCCCTCTTTTTTGTGGTACTGGGGTTTGAACTCAGGGCCTCACACTTGCTAGGCAGGTGCTCTACCATGTGAGCCACTCCACCAGTCCTCCTTTCAGTTTCTTGATGGTGTCCACTGAAGCACAAGTGTTTGTTCATTTTGATACAGTCTACTTTATCTGTTCGTTTGTGCTTTTGGTGTCATATCTAAAATACCATTGTCTAATCCAAAGCAGCAAAGATGTTCAGGTACATTTTCTTCAAAGAGAAAGCAGTTTAGCTTTTATTATTTAGGTCTTTGGTCCATTTTGAATAAAATTTTTAATGTGGAGCAAGGTAGGGTCCTATTTTAATCCATAGATAATAAGGGACAATAACAAAGTCCCTTAGACTAGGTAATTTAAGAACAACAGAATTGAATTCTAACTGTTCCAGAGGCTGGGAAGTTGAAGGGCAAGGCACCAGCAGACACAGTGTTGGGGACTGTCCATTTATTCTATGTGAGGACACTTGCTATGTGTACTTACATGGGTGAAAGCAAAGGGAGAAACACTGGTGCTTTTTTTTTTTGGCAGCTCTGGTATTTAAACTCAGGGCCTTGAGGCTTACCAGGCAAGTGCTCTACCACTTGAGCCATGCTTCCGGCCCCACACTGACATTTTTTATAAGGGCACTAATGAGGGCTCCATCCTTATGACCTAATCACCTCCCAGATGCCCCACCTCCCAACACTCCTATCCTGGGGATTGTCAATATATGTATTTGGTGGTAGGACGTAAATATTCAGATCACAGCAGGGTTCAACTTCATTCTTTTGCTTGTGGAAATCCAGCGGTTCAGTGCCATTTGTTGAAAAGGTAATCACTTCCCCTACTGAACTGTCTTCAGGATCCTTATGAAAAGCAATTGGCTGTAACTGTTTGGGCTGATTACTTAAATTTGAATAAAAATAAATAAAATTCACATTTCAGTTCCTCAGGCACACTAGCCACAGTTCAAATACTCAGCAGCCATGTATGTTGCATGATGCCAGTGTCTACCATCTTGAGCAGCACACTCACATTTTCCACCTCACAGGAGGTGCTGCTGATAGTGCTGTTCAAGTCCTCCAGCTGCCCATGGGCCATTCCAGCCTGTTCCCATCCCAGGCCTCCATCATGGCCATCAGAAGGTGGACATATTTCTGTAATTAGGACATGTTTAGCCCATGTTCCAGTTTCTGAACAATTATGCTGTCAACTTTGTAATGAGAGAAGACACCACATCACTGAATTTAGCACTCTTTGATGAGAAAGGGGTTGTCAGTGTCCATGTGAGTGACCATATAATTATGTGCTCAAATAATTATTTGCAGTGTTAAAATTTTAACTCTCAGTCAGGTGCTGTTGTGTGAGCCTGTAGTCCCACCTACTTCGGAGGATAAGGCAGGAGAATCATTTAACCTGGAAGTTCAAGTCCAGCCTGGGCAACATAGTGAGGCCCTGTCTCAAAACATAAGTAAAACTTCAACTCTCTTTTTTCATTCATTAGTTGACACCCAGTTCTGATGGGTTTGCTTTTCCTAAACCTTTCCCTAAAGATAGGAAGGAGAAAGGGTTGGAGGACTTGGTTCCTAACTGTAATATAAATCAGAAACACCCCTTAACTGTAATTCCCAGGCCCAACCCTCAAAGGTCCTGGCTCCTCAGCTTCAGGGTCGAGGCAGGGAGCCTAACTGTCAACAATGCCCCAGTGGAACCTAATGCAGATTGCCAACGGACGCCATGTTTGAGAAGCCTCACACTGTGTGTTATAACTCTTGCTAAAGTTCTTTCTTCCAAGGGCAGCAAATGAATCATATTCTTTCTAATTATAGAGGATTCCAGAACGAGAAGTGACAACAAGGAAAACCCACAACAGGAAGGGGCCAAAGGAGCCAAGCCACGTGCAGCATCAGCTGGCAGAGCCAAAGGGAATGGCCTGCAGAGCCCTGAACCAGCAGCGGTGAACCTGAGTGAACCCCGTTTGTCCCGGAGGCAGGTCAGTCCCCCAAATGCCCAGAAGCCATTTGCTCACTACCAGAGACATTGCAAGGAACTGGAATACATCAGTGGCCCCCTTAAAAGTCAACCACTGAGAGAGCTAAAGAAAAGCAAAGGAGGTAAAAGAAGCCTGAGCAGTCGTTTGCAGCGTCTCAGTCACCAGGCAACTCACTTGGCGAAGAAACCTTATAAGTGTGATGACTGTGGGAAAAGCTTCACATGGAATTCAGAGCTGAAACGACACAGGAGAGTGCACACAGGAGAGAGGCCCTATACCTGTGGGGAGTGTGGAAACTGCTTTGGGCGGCAGTCAACCCTGAAACTGCACCAGAGGATCCACACTGGGGAGAAGCCCTACCAGTGTGGCCAGTGTGGGAAAAGCTTTCGCCAGAGCTCAAACCTCCATCAGCACCACAGGCTCCACCATGGGGACTGAAAGGGGCCCTGTGTGTTTTAGAGTCCCTGGGAAAGGCTTCATGTCTCTCCTTCCCCTGACTTGCATGTAAATCACAGACCATCAGCGTGAATTACAAAGAGTGCAAGTGGCCCTTGCAGTGTGGTGGTGCACACTTGGCTGGCAAGGAGTTCCAGAAGAGGCTGACAGGGCCCTGACCAAGCACGGCATCAGAGTGAAGAGATGATGGCAGGTTTGAGTGTAGGGACAAAGAGAACTGCAATCCCTGCAGAGAAGGGGGAGTCACCACTGATGGAGAAGCAGGATGACCTTGCAGGTGGCCCCTCATTGTTAAATTCTCTCCATTGCTTTATTTATCTTCTAAAGTATGTTAAAGGGAAAATTCCATATAGAGTTGTGCATTTGCTATCATTCCAGACAATTATTTTTCATTTGTACACTTGAGCAATTCATCAAAATCCCAATGCAATGTTAATTGGAAAATAAATCCCCTAATATTCTCTCTGTGACTCCTAACTATTCATAACAAAGAAAAGATTAGATTATGTACGTGTTTGTGTGAAGAGAGAACTTCCTGGCTGGGGTGGCTCACACCTGTAATCCTAGCCACTCAGGAGGCAGAAATCAGGAGCATTGCAGTTCGAAGCCAGTCCAGGCAAACAGTTCACAAGGTTTGTGAAAAACCCTTCACAAAAATAGGGCTGGTGGAGTGGCTCAAGGTGAAGGTCCTGAGTTCAAGCCCTAGTACTGCAGAGAGAGAAAGAGAATTTCTAAGTAAGTAGATGGTGTCTTTACCAAAAAACAAAACAAAAAGATTGCACTTGAGGGATTGTTTTGTATCAAAGCACCTTTGATTTAGAAAGGAAAATCAGGGCTAGAGAAGTGGCTCAAGTGGTAGAACACCTGCCTCGCAACAGGAAAGCCCTAAGTTCAAACCCCAGTCCCAGTAGATGATGATGATGGTGATGGTAGCAAAAGGAAATGCGCATAGCCACTACGACCCAACCCAGGAGGTGGTGAAAAGCTGCATGGAGAAGGGAATGTGAGGGGAAATCTGCCATTCTCCTGTAGATCATGTGACTGGAAGTATAACTGTGTTTAAAACCAGATTACAATGACGGTGGCACAACTTGGTTGATTTTATGATCTCTAAATTGTACCTCAAAAGTCTTGACAAAATATATTTACACAAAATATTCAGAGTCTGGAACTAAGCCTGAGAGATCATACAATCCCACCCTCTCAGTTTCCCAAAGTGGAAATGAAAACATAGTCCATATACATACAATTCTGGGTCACCCTGGTTGCCAGCCCATTTCTCAGTCTAGGGAGGACTGCTGGCAGATTGGAACACTGCGTCATGCAGAATTTTGGGCAGGTAGCATTCTCTCTAAAGCATCAGTTCCAGGCCACTGGCAATCCAGTCAGGGCTGCAGTCTGTGCTCTTCTGCCCTCCTAACTGCAGAAGACAGGAACACCTGTGAGTCCTCACTTGGGGCCTTTCTGTACTGCTTCCTTTCATTACTGCCATACCCTACTCTGTTCTCCCTCTTCTGGCTCACAAGAGCTGCCTTTGGTCAGGCATGATTGTTCCCACTTATAATCCTAGCTATATGAGAGGAAGAGGTCCTAGGCTGGCTCCAAGTAAAAAGTGGGAGACCCTATCTGAAAAGTAATTGAAAGCAAAAAAAAAAAAGAGCCCTGGGCAGACTTCAGCTGCAAGCTACTATCACGGGTGAGCCACCCTGCTTGATTCCACACCCTAAGTGTACTCAACCTAGCAGCAGTCTTGCCTGAGGGGCTGTCAGGTGAGGGAGAGTCCCTGCTGGCCTCTAGTGGTCAGAAGTCTGAAATCAGTTTCTCTAGGCCAAAATCAAGCTATGGGCAGAGCCGGTTCCTCTGGAAGCCGAGTGGTGAACTTGTTTGCTTCACTTTTTCAGCTCCTAGTAGCACCTGTATTCTTTGGATTGTGGTTCCTTTGTCCACCTTCAAAGTTCATTCCTTTACTCTGTCATCACATCACCTTCTCTGACTCTGGCCCTCCTACCTCCCTTGTATAAGGGCCACTAGGATTATATTGTGCCCACCTGGACAGTCTCTTCACTTCAAGATCTTTACTGACATCTGTATATTCCCTTTTTCCATATATAGTAACATTCACAGGTTCTAGGGATTGGACGTGAATATACTTTGGGTGCCATGATTTAGCCTACCACACCCGTCCGTCTTGAGTCAACTTGTTATGAAAGAGGAGCTCCAAAAAGGAACACAGAGTTCCACAGGGTTGGCACTGGGACACTGCCTTAAATCAGTTTTTGGTGCTAGGTATGATTCCTATCTTTAGAACCCAAATCAGTCATTGTCTAATCTTAGTGTCTCTGGGTACCTGTTCAGATGTGGACCTTGAATAAATGTGTCAGAATCACTCTAAACATCATTCTTTTCCCAAAGGTGTCAAATGTGTCAGTGACCCTGAAGAAGGCCCCTGGGTCCTGTATTCAGATGTAGAGGTCCGGTCATCTCCTTTGCCCCTGAATGGTGCAGTGGAGCCTCAGCCTGAGACACTGACCTGCTGGCTTGCAACCAGCTTCCGTTTACAGCACCGCAAGACAAGACAAAGGCCCTTCTCCTTTCATGGGCAGCCTTTGCCTGTGGGGCAGCCTGTAGGTTTCTCCATCTTTCCAAGACCTTGCCTTGGCACTTAGCCATGTCGGAGTGGGGATGACTCCTGTGAGGGATGTTTGCTCCTTGAGTTGCCTTCAGAAGAGGAAGCGCCAGGGATAATGGGGCCCCACATCACAGAACTCTCTGGAGCGTTTCCATCTACTTGCAAACCCACCCATTACACTGTCACTCCCAGCATAAAAGCAGCAACTCCTGGCAGCGCAACAGATTGCACTGATTCTAAACAGAAAATGCTGTTTTCTTACTATTTTATCAAGCTGTTTCACATACCAGGCAATTCCTGCATTTAAAGTGTACAGTTCAATGATGATAGAACAGTGTATTCACAGAGTTGTGTACCTATCACCTTGGTCTAATTTTATATTGTCAACGTCCCAGAAAGAAACCCCTTAACCAATAGTAGTCACTCCCCATTCCTGCATACATACATGTTGTAGCATGTAGCATGACTATATTCCTTTCATTGCCAAATGATACTCCATTGTATTCTGTTCATCCACACATCCACTGTGACACATCTAGGTTATTTCCACTTTTTGTCTATTATGCTGCTATAAACATTGGTATGATTTTTTTTGGCATTACTGGGGTTTGAACTCAGGGCCTTGCATTTGCTAGGCAAGAGCTCTGCTGCTTAAGCCACATTCCCAGCCCTAAAAATATTTGTTTTCAATGTTTTTTTTTTTTGTTTTCATTTTTCTTGGGTACATACCTAAAGGTGGAATTGCTGAGTTATATGATGATTCTATGCTTAATTTTACTAGAAAGCACCAAACTGTTCTCCAAAGTGGCTACACCATTTTACATTCTCACCAGTGGTTATTCTTACTGAATCTGTTGAAGGCCTGAACTAAGGAGGATGGAGGATGAGAAAGATGAGCTGAGGAAGCAAAGTCTCTGAGAAGCATGTGAGTGGAGAAGAGAAAACAGATGTCCCAGGTTTATAGATTGCTCAGGAAAAAAGGATTCTAGGTGCTTTTCCTGATTTGGGGTTGTAACCAAGTATGCCACCACCACCTTGACTCTTATGTATTAGATAGGAGCACATAAAATTTACAGGGGGACATGTCCCAAGAAAGAAAATGGTGGACAGAATGAATACACAGAATATGGTCCATCTGTACAACTGAATATTAGTCAAGTATAAAAATGAATAAAACACTGACACATGCTATAGCACTGGTGAACATGAAAACATTAGGCTAGCTGGGGCACAGCTGAAGTGGAAGAGTGCCTGCCTAGCCAACACAAGTGCCTGAGTTCAAACTGTAGGACCATCAAAAAGGTAAAAAAAAAAAAAAAAAGGATCTTTTCCTGTAATCCGGGCTACTTTGGGAAGGTGAAGAAAGAGTATTGCAGTTTGAGGTCAGCCTGGGCAAAAAGTTAGTGAGACTCTATCTCAGAGAACAAGCTTGGCAAGGTGGCTCATAGTCGTAATCACCTGCAGAAGGCAGAGATAGGAGGATCACAATCCAAGGCCAGCCCTGGGGGAAAAAAGTTTGAGACCCTATCTGAGAAATAACAAGCAGGAAGGGGTAGGGGCATGGCTCAATTGGTAGATTGCTTACCTAGCAAGCTTGAGCCCTAAGTTCAAACCCCAGTACTGCGAAAAAGGAAAAAAAAAAACATTAGGTTCAGTGAAAGAAAACAGATATCAAAGCTACATATTGTATGGTTTCATTTATGTGAAATGTCCAAATAGGCAAATCCACAGAAACAAAAAGTAGGTTAGTGGCTGCTAGAGATTATGAGGTGGGGGTGATGCTAGTGAGTATAGGGTTTTTTTTTTTAATTTCTTTAATTTAGCATTTCTCATAATGCAGGTGATGTACTAAAGGCATTTAGTTTTGGCCTTACCTCCCCAACTAAACTGTAAGCTTTTGAAGGTGACTATTGTTTATACTTTTTATCCCAAGAAAATCCTAAAACACAATAGTCTCTAAAGAAAATGTATTTAATTGAATTTAAATGTAGCAGTAAATTATTACTTTTCACTCTTATTTTTGCAATATTCACATTTCGTATCCTGTATAGGGTTTCTTTCTGGTGTGATGGCTGCACCTGATAAATACTTAAAAACAGAGAATTTTATTATGGAGGTTATAAATTAGGGCTTTATTGGATCTGACTGTGAGGTATGAGGACATGGGCATGTCTGTGTATGTGGTGGTAGGGGCTATGTGGCAGACACACCTGTACTGAAGACCTAGTCTTGTCCTGAGAGGACAGGAGCAGTGTCTTACGTTCAACAGAGGGGCATGTCTGAATTGATGGATGTTAGGAATCTGTCACAGGCTTAGGAAATGCTCAGGTACTGACTGCAGAGGGGTAGAGGGCACAGGGAGCCAGAGTTTTCAGAAGAAAGACCATGGGAAAGAGTTTTTGTTGTTGTTTGTTGTTTTATGTAGTACTGGGCTTTGAACTCAGGAACACACCTACAGCCCCCCACCCCTGCCTTTCCTTTAAAACACTGATTGTTTTGGATACAGGGTCTTGCTTTTTGCCCAGGCTAGCTTGGACCAGAGATTCTCCTATTTTAAGCCTTCTTCCATGGCTGGGATGATAGGCATACACCACAACACCTAGCTTTTTTTCAGATGAGGTCCCCTGAACTTTTTTTCCTGGGCTGGCATGGAACCACAAACCTCCTGATCTCAGCCTCGC